AATGAGCTCATTTAAGAGTCCGATATGAGTGTGTTTCCCTTCCTACGAATGTCGACTTATATGAGCTTAAATTCATACATCAAATGAGCCTCAATATGAGTCATATTGGACTCTTATTGGCCTCATATACGGCTCATTTTGGACTCTTTTAAAACAAGTTTTGGCCTCATATATGACTCTTTTTTGAGACCCTTATCGGCCTCATAAATTGCTACATTCGGACTCTTATTTTAGGTTGCTCTTTGAGTCTTATTCAACTCACTATATTTGCAAAGACATTCCGCAAAAAGTCCTTGCAAATAACATACATACATACTTACATGCATATACACATTCCAACATGCATTCAATAGCAGCAGCTGAAGCTAAATTTTGTTCATTTTTTGTTTTCTAATTATTTTCAATTTCTGTATAAACAAGTGTAGATATAAATTTCAAATCTTTATTGTTTTATATTGGCACAAGGTGCTGGCTCATAATTTGGCTCATATATGAATCCTAAAAGATTCATATTCATGCTAATGAATGCATGTTGGAATGTGAACGTAAGAATGTATATATGTTATCTGAAAGGAATTTTTGCTGAATGCCTTTGCAAATATAGTGCGTTCAATAAGACTCAAAGAACAACCTAAAATAAGAGTCCGAATGTACATAGTAATTTATGAGGCCGATAAGAGCTCATTTAGCTCTTTACGAGCGTAATGGCTCCGAAATAGGACTCCTTAAAGGCTCATTTATGACTCCCAAATGTTTGCTGGGCACCTTATATTAATTCGCCTTGTCTTGTGTTCTCGTACATATATGTACATAATTTTGTTAGTTGGTGTGTGTACATACGTGTCAGCGAAGCAGCTGTGCACTGCTGTCATTGCAACAAAATGTCTAGCCGCCACATACAGTATTGATTTTTTTTACCTTAAATGTCTTTGGACTGTTAATGGGTTACATAAACATCCTATTAACATTTTGAAGTATACAAATAATTCCACGAAATTGTCGTTTCCAAGATACCGGCTACAGCTTTCGCCCTTATATAAGAGGAGTTTAAACATGTCCTCGTAGAAGTATGATCGACATCATAACCATGAATTGCATATTAGCACAAGAATGCCTCTTGATTGGCACATGCTAAATTACGAGATTATATACCACTTATGTTCGATTTTATCAGATAGTTATTTATATGTGTGTATATAGTTTTATCTACTAGTATAGCTAGCTAGCTTCTGCGGTGGCATTATATAGTACCAAATAATTTTCGCGCTTACCTGACTCCCAAGTACTACAATCTGTGGCAATTGTATGGAATCCGAGCCAACCGTGTTGAAGACATCTTGCAATTTATTTATAACCGGAATGAGAGCTTCCATAATGGCAATGACAATCGCGACACAACTCTAGCTAAGAATTTAATTTAAATTTCATTAATATAAAGGCTGCTTATTGTTTTCCAGCTTTATTTAGCACCTTTAAAGCATTGTGTACAAATACAAGTGAGATATCTTAGCAATAGACGTCACCCTGGGCCACAGCTGCGATCATCTGTTTTTTAGAGCTGCTTATTTTGGTCTAAAGTGCTCTTTTTTGACCTGAGTTGCATTTAATAGTCTTATACAACTTAGTAAATTTGTGGTTCAAATGGTAAAATATATGCCCAAAAACTTGAAAAATATTAGATGATTGTTTTTTACAAATGCTATTTAGTAAATTTCGTTTTGATTTCGACATTAGAAATATTCAGATTATAAAAGTTTTTCACATATGTTTTAAGATTTTAAAGTTTTTAAAAAGTACGGTAGAATGCAACAATGTGGTTGAATTTGTTTGCATCTTCGTCAGCTTATTCGTTTGCAGACTAGAAAAATGGCGAACAGCCATCAAAATACTAATTAAAAATACACATTTTCCGCTGGACACACAAATGGTTGCGCGCAGCAAAATTCAGTCCTAATGGTAAGTTAATTGCATCGTGCGGCGGCGACAAGGTTAGAATTTGCGATACATTTTCAGGCAAATGTGTGGAAACGTTCACTGGGGAAGAGGTATGGGACGACAGCTGGCATGGCATCCAGACGGTAATCTGGTGGCTAGCATTAAATTGTAACCGCGTTAAGATATTTGACATAGCCGAAGGCGAACTAATACAGTGCATTCGTCGCCGGATAATGATGTTGCATTTCACCCAAGTGGAAATTTCTTGGTGACTGGCGGCGATGACGATACAATAATATTGCTTGATTTATTAGAAGGTCGACCAATTTATACACGGTAGTAGGGCACTTTAGCGGAACCAGGTCAAAATGGACGTGAAAATTATACATTAACTGGCCATACTAAGTTTGCGCTGTCGCTTTCTCTCCACATGGTAGACATTTTGCTTCCGCGGGCGAGGATCGACAGGTTATTTCTGCTTTGTATGTAAACAAATTATATAATATAAATTTTTTCCTGTATTCAACAGTTGCTCGTTTGGAAATCTAATTTGCGTACGTTTGATGCCAATAGCGCTCGCAACAAACAAGCCAGTTCTCAAAGAGTCCAAATTGATTTTAGTCATGCAACTGCTCCACATAACTCCGCCATAGACACACCAGTTGCTGGAGTACCAAAAAGCTGTGATGAAGGTATTTTAATTGATCCACGACAATCGGTGGCATATGGAATGCGTGATGGAAATTTTCTGGTGCTTGATAGCCAATATACTACAAGAGAACCATCTCCAAGCAACTTTACCACACCACATTGTCAGTAACATAAGCAACAGCAGTTATCGTTTCTACACATGCCAAACAAAAGTAACAACGGCGATGGCCAGAGAACACCAAACAAATATTTTTAATATTCATTTTTGTTTATGTTAAGATTTCGTTCGCGCTTAACTGCTTGGAAGGCTGCTGATGACTCTTTATAGAAAATGCATTGTTTGTAATTTATTAAATGTGATGTGTACACACTTATGTATTTCTGTTTGTATTTTAAACTATGTAAGTTAACAATATACATTGTATTAAATTATTACTTGAACACGTGCAAATTGATCTGATTTTTATATACATATGTATTCTACAATTTTACTTGTTCCATTTTGTTCTTTTTATGAATTTCCATTTTAATGAAATGTATTATTTAACTATAATAAATATTAAATTAGGTGCATTCCAAATGCAAATGGTGCATTTTCGAATGCACCCTATATGAGCGTTAATAAAAAACCGGGGTCATGGCACTTATAAGTTGTTAGCAAAAAATCATTTTAATGATGATGTTTAAATTTTATTTCGCGTTCAATAAACAATACTTATATACACCAAGAGTTCTATTTTTCTTTCACAAAAAAATTGTTATCTGATGATATCTTGAGTGATTATCTCTGATATTTTGATATATATTTTTTTTATTTATTTATTTATTTATCTTATAATTTTTTTATTTTTATTTTTATATATATTTTTTTATATATGCTAATCTGTTTAGCGATTTAATGTGTACAAAAGTAATAGTTTTTGAAAGCTGGAAAATTAGTTGAGGATTTTCTTTGTTAAGGTAATGATGTACATATATAAATAAGTATACAAATACATAATCAAAAATAAGAGAACGACTAAATAATACTGCTTGCAACAAAAACAAACCAAATAATACTTGTATTACAATTCAGGTACGGAATTTTACAGGTACATATTTTACAAAGTATTTACAAAACCGCCCCCAGTGACAGGCTAACAAACAAAGTAAATAATAATAAAAATAGATGTGGTGGGGATATAGCATTGTGGAAGAATACAAGTGAGATATCTTAGGGTTGACAGCTAGTTGACAGGGTGTTCAATATGGCGATGACAGTGTGAACAATATGGCAGCCAATATGGCAAGCAAGACCGAACGGCCCGAAGCTGCAAAACTACGACCCGAATGAAATAATTCGGGAAAAAATAACGGGAAAAACCAGGGTTCCGAGGTGCTGTTTCGTGACCAGGGTTTTGTGCAGCTCCGAAAAAATATGAAACAGGGTTCTGTGTTTATTGGAATTACAGAAAAGTGTTGCTTTGCAGCATAATTTTTTAATTATAATTTTATTCCAAATAAAGAAAAATTTAATTTTATCGAGTTTCGAAGGAACAAGAAATATCAATAAAAATAATTTTAAACTATGGTTTTTAATAAACTGAATTGTAAATTTTTTTATTTATTTTGAGACAAAATGTAAGTATACTTATTATTTCAGCATGCTACTGTGGCTGCTTCCGTCACTCGCGCGCACTGCCGTGCGCTGTGATAAATATTATCTGAGAGTTATGATGGTATTCAATAATCCAGTGTCATCTCAAGTCACTAAATTTGAGACAATTCGGGTTTTCAGAGAGAAAAACAGAAGGAAATTGATTATTGTATTTCATTCCTACACGTACTTGAACAAAATGCCAGATCAGTGCTCATAATTGTGAACAAATATTATTTTCTTGTTGTTTATTTCCTTTGTTCTGTTATTGAATAAAAAATAGGGGTCTTCATCAAAAGTGATAAACTCTTGATAAACTTGATAAAGTGATAAATTTATCATTTTGATAACTGAACTGTAAAACTTTGTATGGAAATCTATTTAACCAAAGTTTATCACTTTATCAAACGACTTTGGTGGATAAATGTATAAATTTAAGTAAAATTCAACCCCTATAGGTTGCCAGGTAGGCGCTTTTGCTACGAGCACATAAAACCAAATGAACACAATGGACGAGGTAAGAATGAAACGTAACTAGCCATATAAGTTAAATAATCAACAGTTTTATGCGAATATTTACCATGGTGTACATACTACCAAGGTACCTCTAATAATTAGGTGCTTTAAGAATTAAATAAAAATAAATCATCTCTTCTCCCCTTTTTGACAATGTACGCGCTAATAATATTATTTTACAAACAAGTTTTAGACAAAATGTGTAATATTTGTTGCTAAAAATACAAAAGCTATATGAAAAAATGACTTCACAATGAAAACTGTTCAAAAAAAATTTAGAATTTTGTATTTAAAATGAATCGGAATTTTATGGGGGGCCATAAAAATGCGTTTTACTCCAAACTTTGTTTTTCGGATATATTTGTCATTCTTTATTGGCTCAGATATAAATATTGAATGAACTAAAAGTGTGTTTGCATTGTTCAACTTTGCGTTAAAAATTTGCGTTCAACTCAGCGCAGGGTTGCACGAAAAAAAAGTTGAATGGCTAAAAATATCAAAATATGAAAAAATATCAAAATATTCGCCATAAAAAGGTGTTTGCATTGTTCAACTTTGCATTCAACTTTTGGTTGAATGGCCTTTCAACTAATCGCTTTCAATAAAGTTGGTCGCCAGCCAACATTTAGCCATTCAAATTTTTTTTCGTGCAACCCTGCGTTGAGTTGAACGCAATTGTTGAACGCAAAGTTGAATAATGCAAACACTTGGGGTGTTCACAGTTCGTTCCAAATTATGTCTGAAAATGTAGACGTCTACATTTTGAGACACCTTTAGCATCAAACTGTGAGCACCCCTTTCTAGCAGTCGTCGCAAAATCGTCTCAAAACTTTGCTGGTGTTGCCAGACATTTCCTCTTTGCGTGCATTTTTTATATATCGCCTTTCGATTTTGTTTCTGAAAAATTGTAATTATTTAACTTAATTACCAATTCCTAATATTTGTTATTTCTTTTCCTTGATTTGTTTCTTTTCATCAGAAATTGCGCTCAAATTAAATGCAAATACAAAAAACGTGCCCAATAAATAAAAAAAATGTTATTAGTATTGCCATAATGCAACCCTGCTGCGAGGTTGCAAAATGTAGACGCGTAAAAAACATACCTTTGAGTGTGACAAAATGTAGACGGCGTCGTTTTCCAATTTTGTATGGGAAACAACAACACCACAGATTTTACGGTTAGAAAACGTCTTAAAATGTAGACGTCTACATTTTCAGACACTATTTGGAACGAACTGTGAACACCCCAACTGCTTAACATATCTTAAATTTTTACAAAACTACCTTTAGTATGCAACCCTGCCAATATGCAAGTAGATGTAATTTGAAAAATTGAAACGGATTTCTTCAATCAACCTGAGCTGCGGACATCTTGCGAATTTATTTTTAATCATTTAATAGAGCAATTACTAATTTTGATATCTTTTCAGATTTTTCAACAAAATCAGCATCAACGAGGTAAGCATTTAATAAATATCCCAAGTTTCATTGCATATTCTAATTGCTTGTTTGCTATTTTTTATAACAGGAAAATGGTCAACCAGGCTTGTATCGTTGGATGTGGATTAGGGGTACCTCTGTATCCCTTCCCAACAGAGGGAGAGATCGACCGGTGAGTGTACAATATTAGCTTTGAAATAAGTGTATGTGTGTTTTTTTTTTTGTTAATACAATTTTGTTGTGCATTATGCCTGGGGGAACTTCGAAATAGTGCACCCGGAATCAGAAATGGCTGACTTCGAAAGCGTATCAATACAATGTTTGGAAACTGTTTTACTGCGCTATTCAAAAAGCAGAGTTGCGACACATCGCAACCTTATGTATTGCATATTTTAAATATTCAATTTAGCAATGGACAATTTTTCTGAATTTTCCATTTTTAAAACACCAATGGTAACCAAAAATAAACGAAGCATCAACTTTGTTTCTGATGCGCTGATTGCTCTAGCAATGCGTTTCGATAACTTTTCGAATGCGTTTTGAAAAAGTATACATTGTTAGTTAACATTTTGTAGTTCGGCGTTATGGGACATTATACTTTGTACGTATGCAAAGCAATAGACGTTTTGGAAGTCAGCCAATCTGTTAGTTACTCTTTTACTTAAGTTATAATATTAGGGTTGAGGGCCGTCCTTCTAAATTGCATTAAGATTTTGTATTCAAAAATGCAAATGCAAGTGGTATACTATATCGAAGTCGACCCTGGAGGAATCTTCAATGGTGCATCCTTAACTTACCTAGTAGGAAATTGAAGTCGTGGGGCAATAAGTGTTAAACATTTTTTATAATCAAACGGACTTGTCCAACAGAGTCACAGTTTTGTTGTTTGTTGGAAACAGCCAAAAGAAATCGAGGCTGATATATATAGGCTTAAATGCTAATTGCACTTTCTTCAAAACTGTTTGCTCGTAAATTTGAAGAAGGTGTAAAATTTTGTAATTCTGTGATGCAAATTAGATCTGCTTTTTTTTACAGAAATGTCGTTTTGGCCTAACGGACCGGAATGGGTATCGTTAAACTTTTTTCAATACATATCCAAATTTTATTTTAATAATCCCGCTTTTCTTGTTGATTTCCTTTCTTATTTCTACATCGCATTAACTTTTAACCAATATATGTATATACTTATACATATCTGTGTTCATATGGAAAAGTAGCTTATGTCGAAAGGCTGGCTTCAGTATGAATCGGCATCCGCAGCATATGATTGCGAATGACTCACTGGCGCTGAGCCGTTGAACAAAGTTTGGCAAATAAACGTGCAAGAAACAGTTCCGATACTAGCAAGTCAATATTCTTATTAAGTCTCATCAAAAAATTCCTTCTCGTTTAAAGAGTAAAGGCAATGCCGCATTAT